AACATCATATCGTACATTTTATTCTGCACATTTCAGTTTCACCTAGTGCACATTTCAATTTCACCTAATGCACAATTCAGCTTCACTTAACGACATTGTATCATACGCTTTGTGTTGCACATTTCAATTTCACCTAATGCACATTACAGTTTCATCTAATGCACATTGAATTTCACTTAAAGCAAATCTAACGATCCAGATTCGTTCTCATTTCTCTCCTAAGATCATGTTCTTATTTGAACCAAAACCTATATATATATATATATATATGTATATATATATATATATGTATATATATATATATATGTATATATATATATATATGTATATATATATATGTATATATATATATATATATATGTATATATATATATGTATATGTATATATATATATGTATATGTATATGTATATATATATATGTATATGTATATGTATATATATATATATATGTATATGTATATATATATATGTATATGTATATATATATATGTATATGTATATATATATATGTATATATATATATATATGTATATATATATATTTGTATATATATATATATATATGTGTGTGTGTGTCTATATATATATATATATATATCTATCTATATATATATATATATATATATATATATATAGGGAGCGGGTTAGGTGAGAAGTGCCCTTAGGCTGAGAAGCTGCGAAGTCTAACTTATAAGTCTAACTTCCGGTCGAATTTTTTGATGAAACTTTTATGTTATGTTCTTCATCAAGTCTAGTTTATCCACACAAAAATTCAGCTCAAAATATTTTCGTGAAGGCATTCAAATCATTTTTTGAAGTTGACTGCGTTTTTTTATGTACAATTTTGCGCAGTTAACTTCAACAAATTATTTTACTTCCTTCCCGATCAAATTTTAATCTGAAATTTGGTATGTATAAACTAGACTTGATGAGGAAAATGCTCAAAAAAGTTCAACAAAAAAATCCACTGGCAACCGCCCCAAACGGCAGTGTTCGGACGGTGTTCGGACGGAAGGCTGCTGGACAGGAGAATGACTATATATATATATATATATATATATATATATATATATATATATATATATATATATATATATATATATAGGGAGCGGATCAGGTGAGAAGTGCCCTTAGGCTGAGAAGCTGCAAAGTATAACTTATAAGCCAAAAACACGAACTTTTAACCAATAAATTATAACTTATAGACCCCCTCAAAATTAATTACGAAAAGCAAAAAAAAATCCGGGTTTCTGGAATTATTTTGACGCGGTGGCATTTTCGTAATTTTTTGGAGGGGGTCTATAAGTTTTATATATATATATATATATATATATATATATATATATATATATATATATATATATATATATATATATATATTGGTTCAAATAAGAACAAGCCTTAACGTGAGAAGTGAGAACACATCCCGACCGTTCAAATTTAGTAACGATCTGTGATCAAATATGTAGTAGTAGAGGACATTTACGTCTTCTTCTATTTTGGCAATCGCATGGACCGAACTTTCAATTTTTTTATTTATTTGAAGAACCGATCTTTTAGTTCTGCATGATGGAAAGAATGACTTTCCTTCTATCAATGTGTTACCTCAATTGACTTATTCATATAACAATAAATATTTCTATTTTGTTTGTCACATCAATTGAGTTATCTAATTATAGAAATAAATTATCATTTCTTTCTATTTAATTTGTCATTCGGTCAAGTTCTTCTCCATTAAACTATAATTTATTTTCTATTCATTTATTGTGCATCAAATACAAATTCTAGTGTGTTATATCCTAGCTAATAGAAAGATGATTGATTCTTGTGCATTAAATATTGGTTTTTGTTTGTAAAATACTGATTCTTGTGCAGTAAATACTTACGATCACTATATATATTATACGTAGTATGTTAGGTACTGGTTTGAGGCGTATATTCGTATTGTGCATTAGATATTGATTCTTGGGTGTTATGTATTAGTTTAAATTGTGTGAAATTCTAATGCGTTAGATATTAATTAGTTTTTAATTATTTTGTGTCAAATATTGTTCTTTGTGCATTAGATATTGCATTTGTGCTTAAGATACTTGTTTTAGTTTTTCTTATACGTATTGTGTGTTAGATAATGATTGTTGTGCGTTATATATTAGTGCTGGTGTGTCAGATACATCTTCATGTGCATGTGTAGCTGAATATGCACGTTTTTGTGGTTAATTGTACACATATTATACTTATTTTTTAAAAACAAAATTATACTTGTTGTGATTCATTATGTCCATACTATGTGCTAGATACGAGTCTTGTAATGTATATACATATTGTGCTTTAGATATTAGTTCATGTGTACTATATGAAGTCTTTATGGGTTCGATAATTATTTTTTGTTATACGCGTTATGCATTGGATACTTGTTTTTGTACCTTATATACATGTATGATATGTATAACTCTCTAGTGCATTAGATATTGATTCGTGTATATTATACTCCGTAAATGAAAGGTTTCACTTTTTTGCTGAACTTTTTGGTAGCTATTATTGAGTATGAGACCAGTTCATATGCATTAGATATTGGTGATTGTGTATTAGATACATGTTCTTGTGCATGAGGTAGCTGAAGATGTTTCTTGTGCTTTATTGTATACATCTTATACATATTTTATTTTTAAAAAAGATATAGGCAATATTGGTGTCATATGAAAGATCATAAAAAGTTACTCACTATGTCCCCTAACTTTGTCCCGTTTTACTTTTTTCGTCCGTCCCATTAAGTTTGTCCTGTACCATATTTGGTAATATTTGGGTGGCTACAATTCATTCTTACTTTATTCACATTTTATCAATTTAATACCAACCACACATTTCTACTTTTTCTTAAAAATCCCACCACACCCCTTTGTCCCAAACATAGGGGGACGGAGGTAGTATTTAATTTGGTATAATTTTTGTTAAAATCAGATTAGCATACAAAAAGTTAAATCAATTTTTAAACTAAAGAAATTTTATATTATTTGAGTTCTATTATTACCTACTCTTATGGAGATGATAACGGTATGATTTTTTTTAAATTACTTTGGTGTCCTTTATCTAACTTACGGTTGAATAGGGAGCTTGTGGTTATTTTTTAGGTGCTTGCACTCCCACCGTATAACGGTGCATCCACTACTTTCCTAGCCATTAATTTATTAAGATCTATGATTGAGATTTGTTCTTATTTCTCACAATAAGGAGTGTTCTCATTAGAACCACTTCATATATATATATATATATATATATATATATATATATATATATATATATATATATATATATATATATATATATATATATGTATATGTATGTGTGTGTGTGTGTGTGTGTGTGTGTGTTTTACTCGCTCAAGATAATACGTTATCTTCTAATAACAATTTAATATTCGCTCAGGATAATACTTTATCTTTTAATAACAATTTAATTTCCTATTTCAATATTAATAAGGTTCCTCACTTAATTAAGAAAGCATTAATCACAGACTCCATGGGGTTACCTTATTTCCGTAGAATTTCTAGTTAAATTTGTTTTTTTCTGTTTCGGGTCAAGTCTACCCCCCTCAAAATTTTTTGTTTTCTTTTCATGTATTTCGTGAAGGTATGCCATCACTGAATATGTATGGGTTTCCTCGCCATTTACCCCACTGATTTTGGTGATTTGTCTACCGGATTTAAAAAATATATGTAGTATAATGTGTTTTTATATACTACGTAGTATTTCTCACCCTAACCCCATTTGCTAGTTTGTTGTTGTTGAAAAGGTATATTTCCTCAATTGTTGGGTCAAACGATATATTTTGTAATATGTTAAAGATAAAATAATTTTGAACATCAAGCATTTGATTATAAGACCCACCATTAAAGATAAAAACTGGTACTTTGATTCGGAACCGCAAGAAAATGTCTATACTTGCCCCTCAAAAGTCAAAACTAAAAAATTGTATAAAACTAATCAACAGTAGAATCATGGTTATAAATATTTCTCATTTTCAGTCTTGGTACGACATAGTAATAATATTATCTCCATCTCATTACAAATTATATGTTTTAATTTATATGCGAACTAAGAAATATAAAAAATATGTGATTAAAGTTATGTAACTAAAATCACAAATTAATTACAGGAAATAACAGAACTCTTTAGACAAAATCTTAATGAAATAGTTTTACTATTTAGGGTAGACATGTCAAATCAAATAAGAACTGTTATAGGGTCGGGTGCTATTATTAGTAAGACCTAAATTAAGCTGAGACAGAGAGATGCCACAAAAGAAAGCCTTTGTCTATAAGCCCAAACTAGAGTTATGCATGTGCTGTTTCATATAGTAATGAACACTCTATTTACCTCATCTGATTCATACAGTTCTTCACCAGCCCACTCGGTTTAAATCTTACAGTGCTCTTACTATAGAAATGTAAGAGAAATGTTGTTTGCACCGTCAAGCTATGTTGCACGGAAACGCGAATATCATGAGTAAACGGGAAACGGGAAACACCAATTTTTCCTCAAAAAAAACTTGTTTGGAGAGTTTCCGAAACGGAAACGTACTCTTTCCCGAGAGTTTCCGTGCTACATAGCCATCAAGTGCGCACTACACACCATTTTACACGCCGATTGAATTATTAATGACATACTATATTTATTTCTTCATTTTGTAAACAAAACCGTGTTTCATATAAAAAAAATGTTGATGTCTTTGGCAGAAAAATTATAAGTGCGAGACACAATTCACTTTACAAAATGAAAAAAAATTGTAACCAACAACTCATACCGCGGCAAGTGGCATGGGCTTGAGGACCATTGACTCCTAGTAGATAACTAAACATACATCCCAAGGTATAAGTTTACTGTTCCGTCCGTGTGATTATTTCCGTTTTCACCCTTCCTTCCCACTGTCAACGGTCAACGGTCACCACCCAAATCTCCATTCACTATATAAATAACAAACTCAAAGGATCGGATCGGAGCTGCTTAGGTTGAAAACTCAGCTCTCTGAGAAACACTAAAGCAGAACAATATATGGAGCCTTTTACCGCATTATCCAGTCCCAGGATATCTTTCTCAGCTGATTATCTTGATGAGAATGATTTTATATCAATATGCCCCAATTCAGATGCACAAAAAGAAAAGGAGAAAGTCTGCAATGCCCCAGAGTTTGAATTTCTTTCCGGCGAGCTGAAGAGCGAAAGCTGCCTGATAACGCCGGCCGATGAGCTGTTCTTCGAGGGAAAGATGATCCCTTTCTGGGAAATGACCCATTTTGAGAAAAAGCTCGGCAATATCAGCCTGAAGACTGAGGAGGAAGAGGAGATGGAGAAGCAGAGGAAGGAGGCCAGCTGGTTTCTTGATGACGATCCGTCGCCGAGGCTGCCGAAATGCATTGTTATGTGGAAAGAGCTGCTGAGGTTGAGGAGAAACCGGCCGTCTTCCTCCCTGTCCCCGTCTTCTTCCACGTCTTCGTCTTCGTCGTCGGGCTCCCTTCCGCCGCCGGCAGATGAGCGGCCGGGAAGAAGCAGGGAGAAGGGTGCAGGGAAGGTAATGAAGATGAAGAAAGGCGGGGTGGACACGGCCAAATCTGCAGCAACTATAAGGGATTACTCTGGTCTTGAAAAATGTTCTGCATACTACACATAATTTTGAATCAAAGCTAGTGAGCAGAACTTTGATCTCCATTTTAGTTTGGCCGTTTTATGTTATCATGAAACTTATTTGCTTTTTCCTAGGTTAGTGAAATCAATAATTTTTTGAGTTTAATTATCTCCAATTGCATTGTTAAAATATGACTCCGTGTTATATATCACCATTTTAATATGAACGTCTATGTATATCAAACACACAAAAGACCTTGTTAGCAAAATGTGGTAGTTACCTTGGTTTTATGTGGACTGTTTTGAGTGTCAATCAGATCAGACTTAAACAGATCATATCAAACCAGATCGGACTTAAATAGATCAGACCAGACCAGCAGACTTAAACAGATTTGTTAAGATTTAGGGTTCCACCTTAAAAGGTCAACCTGATAGGAGAAGTAGCACATGTCTTAATATAACACTTTATTGATTCAAACTTTTTCCGGTGTGGATTCTAACACCCCTCTTCACGATCAGACACTTCGTCTGGATCGTGTCGTCAGTCATTTTTTCGTCGGTTCGTCATTATCATATTCTTTAATCGTGTCGTCATTTTTTATAACGGGGCCCACACCATGGTTATGGATCGGTTTGGCTCTGATACCATGTTAAGATCTTGGTTTTCATCCTAAAGGTCAACCTGATAGGAGAAGTAGTTCATGTCTTAATATAGTACTTTATTGATTCAAACTTTTTCCAGTGTGGATTCTAACAAGATAAGACTAGAGTTGACTTCGGTAGTTATAAAATACACAGAGATAAAACGTTTATCAAACTAGATCAGACCAGTCAGACCAGATTAGACCAGCAAATTATGGTCCAAGTAAAAACATCCTTACTCCTTGTTGTATAACTTATACAGAGTATTATACTGTAATACGGAGTACTACATACTCCCTCCGTTCCATTTTACTTAGCCAAACTTGACTTTTCAAGTCAATGGAGTCTAAGTTTGACCGATTATATGTTTATATAGAAAAAATACTAATAATATGAAAATGATATGAAAATATTCTTTGGTAAAATACTATCATTAAAGTATAAAATTATTAAATTTTGCATAAATATATTAGTTTAAATAATTGGTCAAAGTTTATCATCTTTGACTGGAAAAATCAAAGATGACTAAGTAAATTGGGACGGAGGGAGTATTAGAAAATATGGTTAACTCAATAATTGACAAAAGGGGTGAAAACCCGTTTGTTTAAGCGCAAAACGTGAAGTTTTTACATAAAGCATTGTTCGAGTACTATTTTCAAAGATTTTTAAATATACTCTCAAAATCACTTATATCTACATGTTATCCAGGTAATCTAATAGTGACCATTAACAATATACTCCGTATTATTTTACATTTGTAATTGTTGGAAAAATGTGTTAAAATTACATTAAATGGTCAATTTGGGGCAATATTTTGAGTAGGGTCCACTTCTGGTATGAGTCATGTTAAAGTGGTTTCGGATTGTCCTTGTTAAGGGCTACAATTCGATATGTGGTACACTCAAAACGGATAACGGGTGAATGAGAAATTGATTCTCGAAGTTCACTCGTTGGAAGGGAAAAACTGGGAAAATGATTGATTTCTAGTGAAATTTATCCCACACCCTAAAACTCAAGCGATTTTCACCCCTTTTAAAGGGAACCCTCCTTGAAAGAGTTAAGATTCCTAAGGGGAAAGGCTCTCTTCACTCACAGGTGGGGTGCTGATCAAATCTCGAAAACGTTTTTTGCTCAACGTTCTTATCTTTTAATACGTCTTTAAATGGACAGTTTTTGACATATTAATGCCCAACGTGCTGGTCATTTATGTTCAACGTTAAGGTCCATTAAAGCTTAGTTAACACACCACAAATATGTCCCTATATATACACCTGGCAAGTGTTTTGCAACAACACATCTCACAGCACAGTTATAACAAACGTTTTGAGCTAAAACACCTCTAGTATTCTGAAAATTTCCTTAGTGTTTTTGCTTGGTTTGCGTTCGCTGGAACAATTTGTTGAGTGTTCAAACAATTGTTCGTAGTCATCGTATTTTGGGAAACGATCGTTGCAACGTTTCTAGCACTTAGGGAGGCAACGAATGCGTTTTAAGGATATCGTGCGTAATATTTCTGTTTCATCTTATTTTCTGTTCCATCTTATTTTCTGTTTTTCTGTTTCTTCGTTTTCCGAGACACGCCCACCAGTAATTTTTTATACTTTTAAAATTTAATATATACATGGTTGAAGAAAGAAAATTATTCTTCTAGGCATATGTTTTACGTGGTCTAAGGTTCAAAACCTTAAAGCTCGATATTAATATATGCTTTAATTTGTAATGTATTACTAACATTGGGACGGAAGAAATTGGCACGGTTATTAAGAAAAGTAAATTTATATGATTGATATTGAATTAATAAATTAAGAATGATTAAGAATCACACAACTTTACCAAATATGATATGGGATAATCTTAGTAGAATTTTAACGGGACGAAGGAAGTAGATTAATTTCTAACTTTATCTCACATAAAATTATGTGTTACTACATTTACTAGAGTAGATTGTGATGTGTTGTACTTTATGTACTTAAAGATAATAAGACAAATCCCTCAAGCATATAAAGTCCACGCGTCCAGCAGTAAGATATCATTTGTGTCGAGAGGAGTAGCAGCTTAGGGAAATTAAATAACCAAAACACGTTTAAAGAGAGGAGATTAGACAGGCAAAATCAAACCGTTTATTGAGGAGATTCGGAATGGGAGTGATTTGTTCCACCTTCAACTTATTTAATCAATTCCCATGCCAACATGTCTAATGCAGCTAGCTACTCTGCATTTTTTTTGTGTACATATACACAAAAAGTTGCAGATAGAATGTAATTTATATTGATTTTAATTATCAAAATAAGACTAAAAGTCACTCACTTTGCACAGATAGGACCAAAAAGTAAATTATGTTTTCATATGACTAATTATGTGTGTCTTGGATAAATATACCCTTATAGCTATTGAAATGTTTTAATTCATAATAAAATAATAAAAAATAATAAAAATTCGTAAAAAATACTAAAATATTAATAAAACTATTTCGATAATAATGATTTTTTTTTTCAAAAAACAAATTAAAAAATTAAACACTCAAAAAAAAAATCACCGCCGCCACAGTCGCCTTAGCACCACCACCTCCAGCCACCAGGGGAAAAAATGCCAAATTCATTATGAATGTCATTTTTATGGCAGAAAACAATGAAAATGTTGGTATTCTCAAAGAGATATATGCCATTTTTTGACATTTGCAAGAAAAAATGGCAGTTTTTAGGGAAAATGGCATTTTTCACCGGTCGGAGGGCAGTTAGACGGTGGGAAAGGCATCCATATATTTTTTTAATTTTTTATGGAGTTTTACTATTTTTTATTAATTTTTTTAAAAAAATAAATTAATAAAAAAAATTAATTTATAAATATTTTATAAATTTTTTAATTATTTTTCTGCGAATTTTTGAAATTTTTTCGAATTTATTATGAATTAAAGATTTAATTATATCTATTTAAATCTTTCATATGGAATATTTGTACATGCTAAATGTTCATAAATTATACTAAAAGAATATATTTTAAATATAATTGTAAAAGTTGGGGTTCCAGAAATATCCCGACATCTTGTATGGAGTAGAATTTATTATTTTATACTCCCTCCGTCCTACTCTTATGATTTCATTGCGGTTTACGATGCTTGACCGACGATAAAGCAAACAGATCTTTGTCCGCACTCAAATTATTTTAAAAAAAATGACATATTCAGAAAGTACATTAAATTTTTACAAAATCGCAAAAACAACAATCAAATTTGATGTACTCCGTATAAAATAAGAGATTAAGAGTTATTTGTGTGACCATACAAATTGAATAGGAATCCACAGAATAATAGTGAGATGGAGATAGTATCAAATAAATATAGGAAAAATATAGCAACAAAAGTACTACCTCTATCTAAAATCATTTCACTTTCCAATAATCCTGGAATCTATGAACTACCCTTCAAAGCTCCTAGTCAGTCTCGTCAGTACTGGCTCCAAAGGACGAATCCAGCAGGACTTACATCACCTTTCAGGCTGCTCTTTTCACCACACGAACCCGCTACCTTCATTACTATCCTCTTCCTTCTCAGCCGCTGAGCAACTCCGTGAAAGTAGGAAGAATCATTGGGGGCAAGACCTCCCTCATCTCTTCTTGGTGGGAATTGAACCCAAGACCTCCCACAGAGGAGAGACTTGAGGATGAATGGTCATCCAATGGACTACACCCACCTTCCCAAATCATTTCACTTTCCAATGGTACAAGGTACAATCTCTTACTTATATTCAAGGATGGGCAATCTTTTTTACGGAGTATAAGGTACCACTCTAGGGTCTAGCTCTAGTTAACTATCAAGGTTACTAATATTTACAATGGATTTTTGTACAGAAATATTTTCAGTGGAATCAATTCAAATGAAATCTTTTTATACGAAGTATATAACAAAAGTAAGTTTTGAAACAGTGCTTTTTGGATGAAGGTTCAATATAAATGTTAGAAAAATATTTAATAAATTTCCAGACATATGTTCCCCTTTAGAACCGCTTATTGAAAACAAAATATTGTCTCAACAGTAAGATTATATAAGATCACATGGAGTATAGTTAAACGGATCCTTAATTCATGATAACGCATGTGAAGGGAGTATATGTTGGGATCGCACATAATGCCCGCAGCATTTATATTCACGCTTCTTAATTATTTTCGCTTTGTTTTGGTCTTCGAATCAAATTAATGTTGCATAACAAATTTATGTTTGTCATCCGGTCTCTCTCTTCAATCAAGCGGATGGATTAGCCAATCTTATAACCCGTTTGGTAACACTCAAATCGGCCGATTATGTTGAAATTTATGAAGTTTTGGTTGAATTAGCTGCATTGACTGATTGTGTTGATTCATGAAACAAAATATTTAAAATATATTTAATTAATTAAATAAATTATGCTCGTCAAACATGCACTTAGACAACAGTAAAAAAATGTACTTGAATACTAGATCCTCTCGACAGATCAAATTAAATTGGACTTAAACATATTACTCCTTCCGTCCCATAAAATAAGTCTCATTTTCCTTTTTGGGTCGTCCCAAAAAATTGTTCCCATTTCCCTTTTTGGAAAGTTTTGTGTGGCTGACATTCATTTACTTTTTTCTTACTCAACCACAATCATACATTTCCACTTTATTTCCACTTTCTTAAACTCCGATCCAAGTCA